TACTGGATTATCCCCATGAATCAATTGATAGAAGCAGCACTAAAGGTTGTTTTTTAGTAATAATAGTCATTGTGATTGCATGTGGTCTACACCAGCGGTTCCCAGACTTCTTTGAATCATGACCCACTTGCTGACATACAGAACATTTCCTGACCCACTGGAATCCAGAACTAGGTATTTCAAAGTAATTATGACTTGAAGAAAACTGAGCGACCTTTTCTGCAGGGCATATTTTATCCTGAGAGGATGCGGATCTAGTGATTTTTTATACTGGGAAAATGTACGTGACCCACCTTGATGCCTCTTGTGACCCACAGTTTGGGAACCGCTGGTCTGCAGGATGTCCAAGAATTGGTAACACTTTTTAAAATTCATTACTTTTACACAAGGAGCTATACCAACCATTGAAATGTGGTACCTTGGTTGAGGGAGGATGAAAGTTTTTAAGCATTAATTTACTGTGAGTTTTAATGACTTTGCCCCACATGTAACAAATAGCTTGTAGTTTCAATGCCAAAGTTCAGAGGGATGATTTGAGACATTCATGCTAAGATAAGTGAATCATTTCTGCTCTGATCTTTCCTGATGTTCATTACCTTCCAACATGACCTTTGTGAGCAAAGCTTTATTGTTATTTCCATTGCCCAAAGATGTTATCTCCATTTCTTTTACTATTTAAAAGCCAATATCTAAGACTGGACCATCCACCAATGCTATGTTCTTTTGCCTATGAAACTTGGACTTGCAATTTGAGTAATTCATTTCAGCCAGGTGTGACTTGGTGAACCAATCAATTCAATGATGGAAATTTAAATTTAAAAATTGTTTCAGAAGGGAGAACCCAGAGAAGTATGACATTTAGACTGTATACTTGTAGTAATGGATACTACATGATGTGAATAGCTCAGAATCTTTTTTATCTTTCATACAGAGTGAGGATCCTTCATCATGATCTTTCTGAATGCTGGTATGGCATAATCCTTTAACACATTAAATGTTGCAACCTATTTATAATCTAGTGAATACAAGAATGTATGACTCACCAGCATCCTCTTGGTGCATTATTGAAGTTGATATTGAAAGCTGATTATATGAAAATATTATGGATCAATATATATGATCACTAAAAAGCAGAAATAGACATTAAGGCCCTTCTTTGCACGTTTGAATTATCATCACAACTGCAGTTTATTTGCAGAAGTATAGGAGAATTCAATTAATGGATTAACTCAGAATCATAAGTTTTGTCAGAGGGAGAACACAAGATTCCTTCATTGGCATCCCTAAAGATGCTGACATGTATAGCCTTGAACAAATTTAAAAGTTGAATAATTACAAAATATAATTGCCCTCATTCTTGAAAACCAGATAGTTGAAATATTGAACAAAATCCTTTATCCTCCATTCTTCACAAATATACATCAACAGGCCTATTTATAATAACAATTCTTTGCAGGAGGAAGATAGGGGCATTCAAGCCTTCTTTCATCTCATCTTCATCTTGCATACTCAAGGGGCATTCAAGCCTTCTTTCATCTCATGAATCAGCTGAAGGAAGCAGTGCCAAAGGTACTTTCATGTAAAATAATTACTTTGATGAAGCAAAGATGCCATTGGAAAGTTTGTCATAAATGTAGATTACTTTTTCGCCATCCTACAAAATGGGGACATGTAATCTGAAACAAAGTTGAAAGGTAAAACAATACAATAGTATTGTTTCTGTTTTTTGGATTGTTCTCTTGTTCTCTGATGAGATATTAATCAAGGACATATGCATTCTCACTCATGCTAGAAATCTATTTTTCATGCACTTTCTTTGCAGGACAGGATCATTTGACCAGCCAGCAAGGTCTCTCATCTTTTGTCCACCCTTCTAACTGGATCATTGAGCCAGTTGAAGGAAGCAATCCCCAGCCTACTTCCTTTGATATAAAAGTCAGGATTATTGAGTGTTATTTTTTATTTAATTAACACAGAATCATTCCTAGAGTATATGACTTTTCTGATGTAAGTGAAAGTGCAGGAATTATTTTTTAAGTATTGGAAAGCTGAATCAAATTAAACTTCTGCTGAGCAGAATATTCCATGGTATTGTACTGCTCTTTCTCTAGAACTCTCAGAGCAAGGAAGTGATTATTACAACTAGTCATAATTGTAGCATTTTTAGTGTCTGTTCTCTTCTCCATTAGGAAGCCCTTCTGGTCCAGGGAGTATTGACTCCTAGAAAGAGGTTAGCATAGAGAGATGGAAGAGAAGAATTGTCAAAATCAAATGAGAGGTGAGGTGATACTGTGGACCTGTGTCTACTATCGTTGTATATGTAGTCCTTAGGCTTATCTTTATGAGAAGAATTATTGCTGTACTAGACTGGGGGAGGCAAGTAGAAAATATAGAGTGATTATTACCCATCTGTTGCATGTTCTTGTATGGATGAAACCACAGACAGGAAGAGAGTTAAAAATTAGTTTTACTGTAGCCTAGCTGACATGATTCTTTCAGAATAGTTTTATTCTGTTGGTATGTGATTTGTACAGTTTGCTTATCTTTAATTTTATTGGGACTACCATCCCCTTCAAGAGGATTTCACTATATAAGCCTGTCCCCCTTTTGTATTGCTCTTTATGAATTTTTTTTCATGTCCATTTTTTATGTTCTGCTAATAATATTGCATACAATATCCCTGTGTTGATTCAGGCTTGACACAGTAGTTTGTGCTTAGACTTCTTCAACACTTGTGAAAGTGAAAAAACTTGATTATTCATCTCCTAATTCTCACTGTTCTCCATCTTCCTTCTCAATGATCAGGGATCACCCTCACTACTACCAAGAAACCTTTCTTGGGAAATATTGTACCTTAGTAGGGTGAAGCCCCTGCAGAATGCTAAACTTGCACATTTCAGAAAGGTATTCCTCATTGAAACATGATACTGCCCAGTGGCAGCTTGCAGACAAAAAGTCTGAGGAGGCCGTTTCATGTTAATAGTTCATATTGCATTGAAATCTTGAAAATGCAGTGCAGAAATTGAAACTTTTGTGAACACTTGAGAGCAGAAGTGCATCAGGTCCAAGGAGAAAAGTATCAGTCTTACAACATTCTCCACTTGAGAGTTTTATCAATTCTCCCACACAAAACCGCATCTAGCTCACCTAGTGAATATGATTATGTAGAATATATCTCACGACTTTCCATCCTTTGCGACTCGTAAATTGTCCATGTGAATTCAGACAACTGAACAGCTCTACTTGAGGCAAAAGGTCTAAAGACATGCTAGCACTTGCTAGCAGCCAAGTGCTAGTTCGAGTTGACACTGACATTGACAGTTGACATTCCCAATGACATTTGGGAACTGTGTTTCCTCCAAGAAATCAATTTTCAACCCGTGTACTTTGTTCATTGACGGGAACTGCACCATATCTCACACACGCCGGGTGAGGATTTTGCAGATGGGAAGAATGGCATGAACTGGTGACTTCAAGATTGCCAATCCATCTCCAAATACCAAATAGATGGCACCAGTAATGAGAAATCTAAATGTACAGCACATCAGAAGTAGAAGAGGCAATGCTCAGCTCCTACCAGTACCCTTTTGGACATTTAGCACTCACAATTAAGCATAAGGTAAATGTGCTTATTCGTGGACAGGAAATTTGTATCTTGGAAATTATACTGCAGTTGTTGGAGTCACTGGAGAACTGCGTCTGGTTTCAATATGAGGTCACGTATCATATTTAAATATTCATACTCTGAAATTGAGCATTGATTGCATACTTTTCCATTAGGTATTTTAACCCTTCAAGCAGTTTTTATGTACACCATATGTTCATCACTTAGAGGTCAGACCAAAACTCAGAGCTTGAAGGGTTAATGACTGTGTGGATATTCACGCTGTTCGCTATTGTGGACGACCTGGTTCCAGTTTGTGGACGGTGCCAATTTTTTAACAATCGTGAACATGGATAGGCCTTATAAGAAGAGATAACCATGTGCAGCAGTTTTATTCATCGTCACTGAGATGAAAATAAAAATAAAAATCACTCTTCATGCATTTTTTTTGGCAAGCACAGTTACATCTGTGACCATTTTGGTGAAGCCTAACTCAGTTCAGTTGAATACCAAGAGTGCATTCTCTGATGAAGTCCATGAGACCTTGATCACTCAAAAAAATTTTAATCATTAATCCAGACTAAAAGTTTCTCTTTTGTCACCAAAACCTTTGTCCTTTTCGATGATCTCGGGCCTCCTCATTGAAATGTCAGGCCTCTGCTTCGTGAATAATTTAAGACACAATTTGAAACACATGACATTAAATCAATACGTTGAATGAACGTTCGGAACGTTGATATAACCCCGTAGTCCCCTTCGTGGACGTCTACAAATAGGCAAAATCTTGAATTGAGGATCCAGTTTGTGGACACCCATCTTTCATCGCTTTAGAGGACGTCTTTCATCCATACATGGATAGAAATATGAATATGAACTTCTAGCAATATTTCTGAATGTCATACTCGAGGCCCACTTCAATTCTCGTCTATAACTTCTCTTAAAGGCAAGAAAAGACGAAGAATAGGAAAAGTTAAGAACTTTTGAGGCCTTTAAAGAATAAATAAATAAAACAAGGATTACAATTAGCAGTATTTTAGCACGTTTTGAGAAAAAGAAAGGATTTAAAAACTTCGAGAAACAGGCCCTGACCTCCCATCCACGATTCTGTGCAGGAGTCGATTGTCAGGAGACTGGACTTTGCTCGCTTTGCGTCAATTGAGAATGAATCCAACTATTCTGAGAGATTTATTTTGTATCTAAAGGTGAATGAATTTCCTAAGAATTTTTGCTGAGGCCCAGCCTCCTTTGCCTCCCCTGACGAGCTACAGCTTATCAGGGCAATATGAAAGTCCAAGTGAAAGTAAAAGTGAAGAAGTTGAGAAAGGGTCAAACCCTTCAATCACAACACAAAGCTTGAGGCACAACCACAAAATTTAATATATGAAAATGATTGAAGGTCACATTAACAAAAAACTCAGGAGCAAAATAAGGTACATAAACTGAGATTCTGGTGGGCAACTTTTTGAACTCCAAAGATTATTAGACACAGGTCTCACGTTTCTGAGAGAAATCTCTGCTGTGTTCCTTGCGTCTTCTTCTTCGATGAGCCTTAGGATGGTCAAGAGCTGTTCCTACACTCCCACTCATACCTTGCTTGTTTTCATGAGGGTAAACTTTCTCTTGAGATCGACGATGAGATCGGGAACGGGATCGATTTCGAGACCTCCGATTCAAGGAGAAATCACTGCCATCTGAGGCTTGGAGAGTCTTTCGGATTCTATACCGGTGTGATGAAAGACCATCTTCAGAATCCTTCTCATCAGAGAAAGATTCATAAATGCATGGGTCTTGAGCCCAAGCAGCTTGAGGGAGGCTTTTCGTACGCATAACCAGGGAATCATTCATTCCTGCCTTCACTTGAGGCCGAGGAGGCCTGCCATCATCTTCCTGACCAACAATTACACGATCATATGTAGAGTCTGGGATCGAACTCATGCTGTGTAAAAGAGGTTGTAGCTCTCTGGCTGGTTGATTGACATAGAAAGGTTCCTCCTGCTTCCTATCTGGTCGGATAAAATCACTACCGCGCTCATCCTCTGACCAGCGCAGCATAGGTGGTGGGTGATTGGAAGCAGCTTGAGCACTCACACTTGTGAAATGGTCACTACTTTTGTCATCAGTAGTGGTATTGAGATCTGAACGGTATGAATGGAGCTGCCCTCGATGTTTCTTTCGCCGTTGTCTCTGGAAGAACTTCTTGGCAATGATGCTCTGATGAGGGTCATAGAACCGTGGCTGTGGGATTACCTCTGTGCCCATGAGGAGATCCTGTGGGATGACAGAAGAGCCATTGCACTTACTTCCTCCCCCACCTTCTTCTGTAGAGTGCATTTGATTGGAATGCACTGATCCTGAACAAAGTTGAATCCCAGGCTGACTCTGTGAACACAAAGAGGGTGGCTTGCTAGGTTGTGATACCACCTTCTCAACATTGGCATTTTCTTCATGCAGAGAAAGTCTGGAGGGAGAAAAGCTTCTCTTCACAGTTGCAGCTCGGACTTCAGTGGATAGCAAGCAGTAAAAGAAGAGAACAAAGAGTCCCAGGCCATTGGACATCAGGCAATATATCACAGTGAATATCATTTCCTGAGTCGATGAATCAACAAAGGGTAAAAAGGATTGGTCACTGGCAATGACAAGCAATGCAGCTGCCATCCATGTGAACACAAAGAGGAGAGCAAGAACAAGCAATCGCCACCATGAGGATCTGGCTGATGTCTCTTCTATCTTGTGAATTGTGAGCCTAGCACTTAGGAAGTAGATGAAAGTGAGAAAGAGGAGGATACTGATAGGTAGCAACACAGCCCAAGCACTCTGAGGCCACTGGAGGAAGCAATAGAGGGGACTGGCATAATCTTTGAAATGAACAGCTCCTGAGATTCCAACGACTATGAGTGGAACCCCCCAGCCACATAGATAAAACCGAGAAATAGGCTTCACAATTATCACTCCAGGCTCCTCATCATCATCATCATCTGCCCCCAGCTCAGTGGATGCTTCACCCATGTCCTCAGGATGCAAAGAACAGGGATGAGAGACAGGTGGTTCAGTCTTCACAACTGGTTCCCTTTCTTCCTCTTCTCTTGCACTCTTTTTCAACACCCTGGTTGAGGATATGTGCAATTTAAAAAAAACATGACTGAGAATTCCAGAGGGCAGGAATTGCTCTGAGAAACCATGCACTTACCTCAAACAAATTGGAAACCAGAGGATGGCACATTGAGTTAGATAGTGCAGAAGGAGTCCCATTCCAGTGCACACTTCTCTCTTGACAGTCTGGCGTACTCCAGTACTACAGGTATGATTAGAAGCATGATGACTATTGAAGAAATCATGTCAAGATGCATAAAGAGAAAAAAAATCCAAAGTTACTCACCTGAACACAAGGAGCAACAGAGCAATGGTGATCCACAGATTGATAAGTATGTGCCTCAGGTTTCGTCCAATTGAGAGATGGATGGCATAGACTCCATGGATGATGGCAGCAGCCAGAAGGCATGTGACAGCCACTGCTGTACCCACATACACCAGAGGATGGAAGAGTCTAAATCCAGGACCTCTTGCCCTGAAGAAAATAAATTACTGATGTCTAGCAGACATATCCACTTTGGTTTTTCAAATGGCAATGTTGAAAATTACTCACATTTCAACAATTGCATCCAGTTCCTCTTTCACTGTGATGATGGCATAAAAGCCACATTTATTGCAGTGCAAAGATATTGAGCTATGGCTTTTTTCTACAGTGCATATGGAATCAGCTGGGTCCCAAACATTTGTCACCATGTTCCATACCACAGGATGGAGGGATTGTGAGGGAAGGTTTTTGCCAATATCACTCTTCCACTCAATGACAATAGGGTCTGTCAAGTTGCTACTAAACAAAGTCCCTGAAAGTGGAGATTCAGAGCATATTTTAGGTTCATTCATGTTTTTCATGCTGCTACCTCAGGGTGAACCATCTGACAGAAACCTAGACATACCAAGGTGACACCCAAGGATGGAAGTGAGAAAGGTTTGTTCCATGAAGTTCAATGGGAAGAGATGTCCTGATGTAAATGCAAAGATCCTCACATGTTGAAGGGCAGATTGGAGGAAACCCAAATCTTTCAAATGGCCAAAGGCAGAACCAGGAATGCGGAGAGATGCACTTGTCTCCACCTGCTGACATAAGATTATACGGTGCTGATGACATGACACTGCAGACACAGTAAGTAATTTTCAACTATAACCTAAAATATTATTGGTGATTGTGAATATAGGTGTGCAGTGAACCTGAACTAAACACAAGCATTTCAACTCCAAAACCCTCTTCTTGGCAAACCAGAACCAGAGATGAATCTGACATACAACCAAGGAATCTGAACTGGAGATAATCTTGACTTGGCAGATGTGAGCAGGAGGCAAACCCTGAATCAGGCATACTCATACTGAACACAAACTTGTTTTAAGGCAAAAAATACTTATATTGCTCATTGGGCCAGGAAATCATGAGAAAAAGTCAGTGACCATACATGAGAAATGAGGAGAAAGTGACTACAATGTCTCTCACAGTTACAGCCATCACTTCCTCAGCACAGTTTGCTTTATCTTCACCCTCAGTGACTTGCCAACATGAACCAAACCTAACAACTTGTGGCAGATGGGAATCAAACCCAAAAGCAACTTTGTGAAAGCAAAACAGAACCTGAAATCTCTGGTATTTCTCAATTATGTAACAAAATTAATCCCAACTTGAACATATTCAATTAGGGATCCAAACTTGATCATTTCTTTCATAAAAGAGTTTGAATCAGATGAATACCCAATTGGAGCAATTCAAAACCAATACCAAAACCAAACACAGTTTAAGCAGGTTTGCTCTACCTCTAATGGGATACAAGCAAATATTTTTAATATTATGAATGCCAGTATTAGTAAATTTGCCTTAAAAGTGTGCAGGCATTAAACTAATAGTTGTATATGGATTTTACCTGAAATGTAATCCTGGCAGATCTTTCAGAGGGAATATATAGAACTTCAGGAGACTGAAATAATTTGTTTCGTACTTCTGAATACTTTTTTGGCAAGTACAGTATTGTTTAGAGTAAATCCTCTGACAGACCTAATCCACGAAACTTCAGGATCCTAGTAATGGCATCAAAAACCTTGGGGCCTAGACATCTGCATAATCAATCATCAGCAAAATTTAAATACCATCAATACACAAAACTAATATCTAGAGTAGTAAGTAATGACAGATTATGGTACCTGCATATAGAGAGATGACAGAGGTACAGTAAGAAGTGATAAATTCCCAGAACCAGACTGTGATGAGACAAATGGCTCCAAATAGCATCGGAGATTGGCTTCAGAAAATTCATCTGAGTGCACCAGCAGACACAAGAGGCCAGTGAAGGAGTCCAGCCTCATTGACACAGAAGCCAGACTCAGAGATGACTAGAGAACAGATATATGCAAGTAATAAAAATGGCAAGCTGTAAGGCACTTCTGAGATCATGCATGAGTGCTCACAGATGAGAAATAAGTATCAGGGAGCAATGAGAGGATCCTGATGAGGGCTTGGAGAATGCGAGCAGCTGCACCATCTTCTTTTTGAGCTTCATAAATCAACTCTTGAGGAAGTTTCTGCACTACTGCTGCAATATCCACAAGCTGCTTTGCCAGCTTCCAAACAAGGTCTTTGTGTGACTGTAACCATAAAAAAATCCAATGTCCTGGATTGACAACTATCATATATTATGAGATTCACTGAGCAAGGTATTTCAAAGAATTGCATACCTCCAGGTTTCCAGGGATGTATCTCAGGTACTTCTCTAGTGTTTGTGCAATGAACACAACATCAATTTTGTCCTGAAGTGCCCCACCATCCTGGGTATAATTCAAGAGGTGGATAGCGCTGTCATAGGCACTTGCAACACTGAGAGTGAGATTGTTCTGGTGGAAGAGAATACAAAAAAGGAAGTCCAAACTTGAGTTATGGAAGCCATCAACATAAAAATAGGTCTTCCAAGATGTAAATAGGTGAAAAACCTTGGCAAATTGTTCCAAAATCTTGGTAGTGAAAGATAAAAAGGGACAGCTGGATGTGTCTGCTTCAGTCCATGTTCCATTACGCAAGCAATGTCTTTGTGCAAAGGGTGTTTTCTGTGGAAGACTGGAACCTTGCTGATGCCCTTGGCATGGCAGCTCCACTGATCGTTCCAGCATCCATTGTGGCCAAATGTAGGCCCCCTTGTTGTTCTGTGTCACTTCAAGGTGAGAAAGTTTAAAAAATGACAAAGGAATGAATGCAAAAGACAACTTTTTAACCCATTTGGTGCCATGGCTGTACATGTCCAGTGGTGCGTTTTTACTCCCAGGGATCACAGTCTTACAAGTACAACCTCAAATTTTAAGAAGATTAGTATGACCCTCAATAACCACTAATAAAAGCGTATTGCATGTTTAGAGCATGTAAAAACCTGTGTTCCACAATGCAAACTCACCCAAAAATCACTTGATCCTGCAGGCACTGCCAGCCATGGAAAACCTGGTACCAAAAGAGTTGAAAGAATTCATAGAAAACATACCTGACTGAGGACAGAATTTTGTGGATTCAGACATGACAAGAATTTCCAAGGCAGCAGAGTGATTGCCTCGATCAGTCATCATCAAACACTGCCAGACACCTGCGTGCTCATCTTGTACACGATTTATATACAAGGTACTGGAAGGAAAGAGAATCATGAAAATCAATTGCTAATTCATACTTGAAATTTGCTGAGAAAAAAATATTTTTTAACAATTGAACACTGCACACAAGGAAGCAAGCTTTGCAAATCATTCCATATGGAATCACATTCCAGGCACATTGAAAACTGGGAATAGGAAAGATGACACAGGAACACTCAGGAAATCTTATATGAAAAACCAAACTGATGAATGATGCCATCATCACATGATGATGATGTGACTGTACCAGAAGCCAGCAGCAGAAAGAAACTCTTCCAAGGGGAACTTTCAGTAATAAAAATAATCATATCCTACTTGCATCCCCCATTCAATGGGTATAGTTCAGGTTAAGTTTTAGGGAGTTAAAACAATCTTTTCAACTTCAGCAAAATTAGGTTTCTCAGCTCTCCTTTGTTGCTTATGAAATGTGAAAGGAATCACCCAGTTTACATAATTTTCCCCAAAAATTTGTCAAAGCCCTTATCAAACTACCCACCTTTGTTGAGGGCAGTTTCAAAGCTTCTTTGCAAGGCTGGAGGCATGGCACAATGAAATAGACTAATGAGATCTGATGGCCATTTCATTACTTTATTTCATTAAAAAAAAAGTAAGACTATGCTGGGATCAATACTGGTCCCAGGAGATAAGCATCTCATTAACAAAATAAAATGATGTCCAATGGACTTTGATGGTTCTGTACAGAGAACCCAATATTATGCCATTCCAATCTTCCATCACTTACATGATCCATGAACTTCTTTTCATAGATTGCATCAAGGGGATTCCACTTATAAGGAGTAGGATCTCCTACTATGTCAAGACCGGATCCTCCAAAATCAACACACACCAGTGAGAAATGGTGACACCGCTGGTGTGTGTCGATTTGGCACAGTTGTCCTGAGCATGACCTGGAGTTGGAGGATCTGGTCTTGACATATTATTTCAATGTATCACAGGCGGTTGCAAGACCACATCCAAGTGTTTTTTGCGATTTTTCTATATGAGTCACCACGTTTATGGCAATGAAAAAAGGTGCCATGCTGCTCTTTCATGAGCTTCTTCTTTCCCATCTGGAAAAGTGAGGCAGGAAAATCACTTGCCCAAAAAACCACGTTGTGTGCTGTTTAATCAAAATACACACGTCGGTTTTTCTCGTTCTTCGATTGGGTCATCTTCATTTCTACTGTATACATTATACTGTACCACACACATTTAATCAAGTAAATGTGAAAAAATCAATTTTGAAAAAGCATTTGGATACTTTTGATCACCTTCTGTATACTAGAAAATTAAACTTTTGGGGAATTTTGACTTTTTCTTAGATACCCAGATTCTTAGATACATATTCTTGTCTAAAGAAAATGGCTCTGATCCTTACCTGGAATGAGAGAAGCCCTCATCATCATATTTGAACGTCACACTGGTCCCATCATGTGGGTTGGAAATGACTTCAAGGCCTTTCCAAATCCAAGCAACTCTGATTGAGCCCAAGGAATCAGGACTACCATGAGTATTAATTTCCTCTGCTTGACACTGGAATTCGAAGCTGTCCCCTTTGAAAAGGAACTGTGGTTGAGAAGGAGAGATCTTCATCTTGGGAAGTGGTAAATTCCAGTCTGTGAAGAGAGGAGGGGTCACAGTCACAAGTTGCACAAATGTATACTATCTATCATTGATAGAAGCACAATGGGTGAAAAGGCCTGAAAATGGACTAACCACAGAGGAGATCCTTGGAAGTGAGCTTCTTTATTGGGTAATTCCTCAAGTTGGGTGGAGAGTAGCACAGAGATGTGGGGGTCAACCGAACAAAATCTCCTTGCAAAAGCCACTCCAGGTTGCAATCACACATCATTTGATTCAAGGCAAGATTCACTCGAACAGGAAACTGCAGTCCATTGAATGTTCCATTCTCAAGATGCTTGAGTGTGTTGTTAGCAAGGTCTATCTTGCTCAAGGTAGACAGGCCTTGGAACACATCATGAGAAAGACTTCTGATGTGGTTTCCTGACAAGTCCAACTTTCTGAGCAACTGTAAGCTCTGGAGAGCTCCAGATTTGATTTCCTCAATGCCATTCCCAGATAGGTTCAGTCTGAAAAGATAGAAGAGTTACAAATGAAATCAGCACCTATCATTCAAAGCTATGCAATGAGCACATGAGATAACCCCAATTTCCAAATAATATATTTTCCCAATTCCCAAAAATCCCAATATTGGGAATTCCCAATAATACGTTTGTGGTCAATGGCTAGTCACCTGCATCACCAGAACCTTCAAATGGATAGAAGTATCCAATCAATGCCAGCAAAACCTGAAAAATATAAGTCCACTCACCGTCGAAGCTGAGGGAGAGCACTGAACATCCCAGGTTTGATGACAGGCTGAAGGAAATTGAAAACATCCAATTGTATGGTTTCAGCAGGTAGGTTCTCCAATATCACACCCATGTCCAGGTCATCTTTAGATTTTCTGGAGCATAAGCATTTTAGTTAGAAGAGAATATGGACATAGGCTTTGACTTAAATAAGTATCATATAAGAAGATAGGTAAAACAAGATTTAAGGCAGTTGCTACATGCAAATTAAGCTAACCTGCACCTGATATTAGAATTTCATGTGGTTGACCAATACCTTGTTTATACATCAGTAATAACCTTTCCAAGAGAACACAAGGTTCAGGGTTGACATCAATGTTAACCACAAAATGTACAACACTCATTAGGGAATGATACAAATGCACACCCATTAGGGAATAGTACATCTAGTTTTTACTCTTGGTCAGTAGTCACAAGTATCATCTGATCCTCTGGGTTCTCTTAACTGTCTAAACCAACAGACTATCCCATTAATTTGCCTCAAGGGCATTGGCAGTTTTACATGCCAAGACATGGACATGGTCATTTCTACCTGCCTGACATGCACATCACTCACTCTTCTGCTGGAACTGCACCTGGATTAGATCAGGTGTCATGGCCCCAGGGATATGTCACCATTGTTCAAAATTCATGAAAAAAAAATTCCTGTGGCATGGAGAAAGCTTCCTTTCAGAACACAGCTTTGACATGGGTATTGCCAAGGCAATAGTATTTTGTTATAGTCCTATCCATATTAAGAATTTGTTCTACTCTAATAAGGCTGTCATACATAAGTCAAGATGAGCTCAGGAATTCATCACAGGAGGCTGGAAATATGAGCTCTGGTCTAGTTATTGTCAAGAAAGATCATGACATACACAATGTGGGGTTAATGCCCACTGCACATGGAACATGGCAGCATGAGAAGCTAGAGTCTAGCTGGGAGCCTCTATTAGCCCAAGGTCACTCAACAAACATATACTTTCCACTTCAGTATCATCAAGTTTTCTTGGGGATGATAAAGCTCACACCAATGAGGGTGATTTTAAAACAGTTCCTATTTTTCTATTCACATAACTTTTATTATGACATTGCAGTAGCCAAATTTACACAAATTTCTCACCAAATGGTGAGAAAACAAACCATACTGGAGGAGAATGGGGGGGGGGGAGGGTGCACACAAGATATGCTATGCCCAAGAGGCTCAAGTCCAGATTTCTCAGTGTTACTAGCAATATCCAGGACAAATCTGCCATGCCTAGCTTTTTCAAGGTCATTTTCCATCTTCAGTGCAATCATCAGTCTTCTAAAATGCTTAAAACTCGGTTGAGGTGCATGAAAGAAAAAAAAAGGTGAGGGTGTAGACAGGGATTGAACCCAAAGTGCTCGATATTGACAGCCAAGTTGTAAATCATTGGGCTACTGACTCTTGTCTGCAGAGTAGGGACAAGGAAAGTGGATGAGAACAGGTATGCCTCCTTGTAAATAAATTGATCCGGGCAGCCCTGGATATAGCCACTTCTCTTCCACAAAGCAATATGGATGTAGTTGAAGTGGTCCCAAGCTGAGTCATAACCCTACGTCAACCCTAACGTTGGCTTTCAAACACAAAGCAGACCTTAAAGGGCCGACACAGGAGACTCGAACTCCTCTGAGTCCATCTTCAGCAGGAGAATATTCTTCCTCGTCTATGCTCTCACGAGGAATGTCCAGGCGCTTTCCGGTCAAGACACAGCGACAGAGATTGCCAATCGAGACGCCATTGACACTTTGGCACGGATCGCTCCCCCACGTGAGACGAACGCACAGCAACAGTAATAAACAAAAGTAGCACAATCTGCTAACTAGGGGGGAAGGTCCTGTCATTTTCTCAATGCTACTAGATGAATGAAATTTCACATTCCGCCGAGGATGAGGATGATCCACGAGGAATGTAAGTGCTGCAAGGGGCCATTTTTCCAGTGAACGCGTTCGAGCGTACCCTGTCAAACTCGAAGTAACTTGTTGCTTCAAGTCATCTCAATAGATAGCAGCACGAGCGAAAATATTCGGATCTCAATTTTTTCTGAAGAAAGAGCCTACATTTCAAGAATTACTTGGATGTATCTGCCTCGATTCCGTAATCTGGAATCATACTTTTTAAAATTCCAAAGGATAGGATGGAATGAGCTTTCGAACTGGGCCTTCACGTGGGCCATTTTCTTCCGTACAAGGTACGTATTTTCTTTGGAACACCCTAATGCACAGGTGTATGGCATAATGGCATCAGAAAACCCGGTACAGAAAGAGTTAAATACACTTTAGTGAGAGAAAAAAAAAACAACCAATGAAATGTTTTCAAAATTCATTATGCTCAATGACCTAATGGTGTTTTGGTTTTACTGGAGGAGATGCTTGGATATGTATTGGGTTGGAAAGAAAGTCTTGCAACACTCTGCGCAAATTTGTCAAAATTTTATAACTTTATTGAAATGCAATTTCAGTCTACAATGTAATGACCATTGTTGTCTATGGCATGTTCCCAACGCACGGGTAACTGCTCGATGCCCTTTTGCCCAGAA